CTTTGACTGGAAAGCGATTCGAACATCTGTAGATACAAATCTGTTGAAGAAGCTGAAGATTAGAGTGAAGTCAAGGAGGACTTCCAGTCTAAAAGACTTGGAGTTCATCACCGAGCAAAGCCTGTCAAAACACCAGTAACAAAATCTGGTTGGCAATTTAAATTATTTGTCAGTGATTATGGAGAATTAAATAAACTAGGTTCAACACATAATTTTTAAATAAAATAATAAATCTCCTGTAACTTTTATTTAATATATATATGTTTTTTTTTACATATTTGTTAATACTCCTGTCATGACAATATAATATGAGACAGATAAAAAAGATTGAGCTCACTACTTCCTCCTATTACTCCTATTGCTACTGTAATCTGAAGAAATACAATACAACCAATCAGAGTCAGGAGGAAGGTCTTAGCGCTGTCAATCACCCTCGTGCACACCTTCTTCAATGTCCTACTGGTGGAGAAACAGCTTACCATTACAAGAAAACTATTTATGGACCATCATCGGTGGTCATGCTAACTAGCCTTAGCATTCGCAACCGGTTCTGGCATGGGGATGCCTTGGGACACCCCAAACAAGCTGGAGGATGTCACTAAGGAGAGGGATTGCTGGGGTTTCCCCCTGGATATGTTGTCCCAGATCTCCAATAAGTGGACAGGTTTTGGCAATGACAGCTATCTGTATATTCGAGACATTAAGGATTCTTTACTGATATTACACAGTAATTATCCATGTTAGGATCTTTTCCACATGTTGCACCTACTGATTAGAAATCAGCACTTTCTCCAGTGCTAAGGCATATCCTTCTACATTCATATAAAGTGGAGCGTAATTTAGTAGAATGGTTGTGTTGTGCCCTGAAGAAGACCTCTATCCTGTGATTATACATGTACTTCCATACACATGTTGAGTAGGAACATGCTGCTCTCTCTGATCTGTCTTTTTTGTATACTCTGACTCTTCTCCCCCCTGGAGCAAACATAGGCTAAAGGAAAACCACTTCACAAACATTTACGGTGCATTTTCAGTAAATATTTGTCGCTAAACTTCAGAATTAGCTCATAAATTAACCTGATTCTGTAAGTTTGAGTCTGAATCAATCTGTAATTTGGGGATTGCATTTGGGAATATGACACTTTTGAAATTGTGCTTCAGACGCTTGTTTATTTTGCCAAATCATGTCTAATTAGATGTAAGCTGTATTCTAGCTTTCAAAGCTCTTTCCCTTCCTGCCATTATTTGTTTCTCTTTGTGTCAGACTGACAGAAAACTCCTCCTCTCACGATGTTAAATCATGCGAGCATTTTCTTTACTTAAAGTGCCAACAGTGACGTTTGTTTTGTTTTTATTAATGTGCCATCCAGCTTTGCTGAAGCCCAAATGGACATAAAAGATTTAAAATGCAATAACGTAAACCAGATTTGGACAAATATGCGCCACATAAATTTTATAAAATACTTCAGATATTCCATTTTCACGAGATCAAGGAGTGGATTTTCTGGCTTGTTTATCAAAAATCACCACATGAAAAATAAAGCAACTTTGTTACTCTCCACTTATAATATCCACCAGATTTCTCTCCAGTTTGAAAGTGTGAAAAGTCCCATTTACGTCCACAAACTTCACTATTTTCTTATTCCATTTTTGTGGTGGACCAACACAGTCATAAATAAATGTACATTGACTGATCATTTTAAGTGGGGTCTTAATTTTTTCCAGAGCCCTATTTAATGTGTTTTTGTTGAAATAATGACAACATTTAAGGGTAGCAACAACATTTTGATGGAGTTCACCTATATAGTGATAAATTAGCACACAGTGGTGCAAAATTATATGAATAAAAATAACTTTGTAAGCATAGATAGTAATATAATACATAATCAGGGGTATTAGTTTAAAGGTGGCTGAAAACATCAGGAGAAATGTAGAAAATTAAATCAAATTCAATACATTTGTGGCTATGACTTTAAACAATTTGCCAGTAAGAGTTGGAATATTTTTGCAAAGTCTGTACAACATAAAGAATATTACTGAAAAGCCAAAAACATGAAAACACCACATTTATTTTTTCAAGTTTACATATTTTTAACAAATTAAATAAGGCAGGGATTATTTTAACCAATAAAATGGTTTCTAGTAAAATTATACTAGTTTTAAACATCAATAGTTCCTAAGACTTTGAGTAAGGCCTTTAAGGCTCTTAGATATGCTGTCAATCTTCTCATTTCCACCCATTTTGCTCTCCTCCCCTTCGCTGCCTGTTCTGTGTTTCAAAATGCCAGTTACTGTAAATCTCTATCTTCATACAGAGTAAACAAGTTGGCTCACATCTGGTTCAGACCAAAGCTGAGAAGAGTTCCCAGCCCGCAAACACACACATCTACATGTACACACTCATGATGCAGCCTCAGAAGTGGCTTCTCTCCTGGGTGCACTTATCTGGGCTCCAAATTGCTGGAGCATGTCTGCTTTCTGGGGTTCGAATGGGATTAAACAGCAAAGGAAGGGGAAAAAAAAAACACACGAGCTAATTTGTATCGTGTAAAAATTCTTTGTGTTGAGCCAACATATATATTTCACTCATTTACTGTAAAATAAAAATGATGAGTACTCATGTATCTGATGATGTTCAGATCGTAATCCTTTGAACTTGTCCCAAAGAGAGTCTGGGCTGCAGCTGCTGCCAGAATATTGTTTGTTTCTGACGGAAAGTGGATCATTCCTCCTGATCGGTGTGATCACCACAACGGCCCATTATGATGATGGTCTGTGTCGCAAGACAGCAGCTGTGGGAGTTAGAAAGCTTTGCAAAACTATTCAAACTTTTATTTATTTTTTTACATTTTGTCACAGTCCACTCACAGATTATGGTGTTGTTTATCAGAAACAAAACAAACTCTACAGATGTATTTTTGGCTGCAGTCATATTTATTTTTAGTTTGTATCAATCATCCCAGTGTTTTATTATTATTACAGAGCTTCTTGTTAGCTCCCTGAATCCTCTGTCTCCTTTGCTTCAGTCACTCCTTACTTTTTCTTTAAACAATCTTTATTGAAATTTGCCAAAGTGTTGCAAAGCGTACTCTAATTAGAAAAACACTGCAAAATCTCACACTGCTGAAAGGAGCAAAAATATAAGAACATTTTGCTAAGCGTCTTCTATTTAGCTTCACCACCTCGGACAAGCTTCCTTAATCCATACAGAAGCAAAGCACCCCACATCATGCCACCACCACCACCGTGTCCCATCATGAGGATAGAAGGAAATATGTGGTTTTCCACCACAGAGAAGCTCATTTAACCTGAACTTCTTCTTTCTCGTGTCTGCCGCTTTCTCCTACTTGTCTTGAGGCAAGTTGTCTGTTGTCAACAGGCCTGCCTGCTTCCTTGACTTGTGCTCTCGTTTCCCAACTTCCCAGTTTGGGTCCATAGCTGCATTTTGGTTTGCAGCTGTGAAAAACTTTTCACATTTTTAGATGAGGAATTGAACTGAGTTCCATACGACATTCGGCATTGTTTCGTAATATAACTCTACTTTCAACTTTTCCACAACTTTATCCTTCACCTTCATGATGCTTTTTGTTCACTGGTGTTTTCTAACAAAACTTACTTATTTACATATTATAGTAAAGGGAGCTGAAAGCCAACGCACTGTCCACTTTTCAGATTTCTGTTTGGAAAAAAAAATAGATGGGATGAATTTGTATTTGCACTTCACAATAATGCACCATTATCTGTTGTTCCATCACATTAAATCTCAGTAAAATACTTGTATCGTAGTAGGGGTGGGCATTTATCGTATTGCTTAACATTTATTGTGATAAATTTCTTATAATGATCATTTTGATTTATTGCTGTCACCACAGATTCCAATTAAAAAGTCCTTTTTGTCAACAGTTTGATATTTTTACTGTATTCTCCACTGCTTGTTCAATAAAAGCATCAATAAATGGCAATAAATCTGTAAATTACACTTACCATTTCTAGTTAAGGGATACAAATCGCACTTCTTCACTTGATTGGTGTCCTAAAGAAACACATTACAAATGGAAAGGCACGTTTGTGTTTGTAGGACTGTCATGGCTGCGACACAGAGTTACTAAAAAAAAGTTACATCGTTATAACGATAGAACCAAAAAAATATCGTAATAAAACTTTTAAATCCATATCGCCTACGCCTATGTCCAAGAGGTATGACTACTTTTGCAAAGCGATGCATTGTCACTCTGTCAAGACGCAGCTTGAGAGTGAGTGGAAGTGGGAGAGTGCAGGGAGGATTCTGCAATCTGTCCAAACGTCACTAGTTTTATAAGAAGGATCCGCAAAAAAGTTGTAGATTGAACTGGATCCGCAGAGAGAGAGAGAGAGAGAGAGAGAGAGAGAGAGAGAGAGAGAGAGAGAGAGAGAGAGAGAGAGAGAGAGAGAGAGCTCAACCCTTCCCACTCGGTAGAAATCACGGGGAGTGACTGTGACAGAGGGAAGGGGACAGAAAGACTGAGAGCAGAAGAAATCCTGACTGGAACTTCATCCCATGTCCTCCAGGACCGAACCGGACCTTTAATCTGGACACCCAGTCGATAACCTGTGGGTCAGAAGAGAGACCGCTGGAGTATGCAGTTCGGTTCCCTGTTCAGGTAAAACTTGGACTTCTCCAGCTGTTGCTGCTGCTGCTGCTGTTCACTCCGACACATGTTTGCATCCTTTAAAGCTGATCGTGGTGGAGGTGTTTTCAAAACTTTTATGTTCTGGCTTTTGGTTTTACGCACGACGCCTACATGTTGCGCACAGGGCGCAGAGCCACATAAGTCTTTACCCACAGGCGCGTACTTTGTAGGCAGGAGCTCCCTGTTTCTCCTCAGGGCGGATTTCTTTTTCCTGAGGTTTCCCCCTGATCTCTCTCTCTCTCTCTCTCTCTCTCTCTCTCTCTCTCTCTACTCGGGGTTTATTCTACAATGTGCCACTGTAGCGGCCGTGCGGGGAAACGTGGAGCCCGGTAGGGGGTCGTTACTTCGGCCTGAGCGGCTCTGTTGTGTGGCTGCCGGGCTCTGTGCGGGACCTCTGTGAGTGTTTTTTTCCCCGGGGTAATTGTGTGGTGTGGGGAAGTTTCCAGAGACCGCGGCGGTGCACCACAGTGGGAAGAAAGGACCGATTACTTTGCCTACATGTGGCTTGCGGACTGCTGATTGCGGCCATGGTTCGGCTCTCCCTCGCTTGGTGAGCGCTGCAGCGTCTCTCTAAACCCAGTTGTTTGGGGTTCGTTTTCTGACTACCGTCCAGTTCCTCTTGCTGCTCTGCACTTGTCTCGATGTTTTGGAGCTTGTTAAATCATTATAGGTTGCCTTCTGACTGAAACAAGTGCATGTATATGAAATTATCCTACTTTTATAGCAAAATTAAAACCCTAAAAGCTGTTTTTGTCACTCGTACCCCAAAATTTGAGCCCATATGAAGTTGCAGTGCCTGGCAAAAATATTCATAACTCCAGTATAAATGTAGCAGCTCTGCAAAGGCATCATTAGTAAAGTTATAGAGAGATCAGGGTTTGTTTATGGAACAATATCCCAAGCTTTTAACAACTGATGTAATCACCATTCCCATGGTCAGACAAGGTGGTGGCAGTATCATGCTGTGAAGATGTTTTTCTTCAGCAGGCCAGGGTAGCTAAGGTACAGATGGAGCTAAATATGGAAACATCCTGGAAGGAAAAGAAACTTGTGAGAGGCTGACAAAGACTTTAGAGTCATTCAAATGTTAGAATGGCCCAGTCAAAGCCCAGATCTAAATCTGATTGAGAATCTGTGGCAAGACTTGCTCAAATATGATGTCTGTGTCTAATTATACAAAAGTTAGAAGCTTGACACACAAGTGTGAACACACCCAGTCATGGTTGTACACCTAAACTGACAGGCAGGTAAGGAGAGAATTAATCAGAAAAGTAGAAAAACGCAACTCTGTCCTGGAGGAGCTGCGTAGATCCACAGCTCAGGTGGAAGAGTCTGTTATTAAAGCAATGACCAGTCCCCCCAGAACGTTGTGATCACAACTATAAATGCAAATTTTCTCCTCATTCACAAATTTTGCATGGACTTCCAGTTTTCACCAGTCATTGTGGCTTTTCTGCAAATTTGACCAAACATCGTAACATTTTCTGTATTTCTTTCTATTCTGACTAATTCAGCTTTCTGTGTCACATTTTTTGTTGTTTTGCTAAAACATTGACTTTTATTTTGCACAACTTGTGTGTTCTTCTGCACTTTGACACCTCCTCACAACATAAGTTTATTTGTATTATGGTTTCTATTTCAAGGACGTATTTAAAAGTGTTATTTAGATATTAACTGTTGAAATCCTCATTTCAGGAAGGTTACGTGCAGCTATTTAAACTTTTTTGCAATACCGTCCTATTGCAAAAATAAACCTGAAAACTTATAAACCACAACTTTTTGAAAAAGATGCTGCAACATCTGTAATTTTAGGCTGCAACAATCACAAGTCAAATTTGCAATTTGCTACAAGCCGTATAGGAGGAGACGGCAACATCTGGAATAATGTGCTCTGGTCAGATGAGACCAAAGAAGACTTTTTAACCTAGATGCAAACCGTTGCGTTTACATGGTGAAGCATGGTGATGGTTGCACCATGGTGCGGAGTGTGCTTTCCTTTCAGCAGGAACCAGGAGGCTTGTTTGAGTTGCTTCCCCTTCATTGATACAATCTACTTCACGCTGATCTATCTCAAGGGATGAGAATGCTTTTGCAAGGCACTGTAACCCTGCGGAAAGATTAAAAACCTTGCTGCTCAAGATGAATTTTACAGACTGATTGCACCACTGAGCTATGAGTGTGGTTACTGAAAGAGTGCGTGTGTGTGGGTGCGCGCGTGTGTATGCGTATGCGTGTGTGTGTGTGTTAAACCACATCCTCAGGGTGTGTGCAGTCCCTGGGAGAGGCATTCCAAAGAAAAACTTGCTTGCTGTTTAAACTCCGTTTGTTTGTTAACGCCTCCTTGGATTTCCCAGATTGATGTCGGGATGTTTGCCCGTGAACTTCCAGAGGGAAAAAGAAACTCTTGTTCACCGCTCTACCAGCTCACTCGCCACCTGTAGGGGGAAACAAAGTGGCATAATTGGTTTCCACAGTAAACACAGGTCACTGGAACATGCCATAGGGTGTTCACGCTACATAAATGTGCGCCGACGAACGCTGAGAGGGAATAAAGAAAGCGTCTGTGAGCTTCACCGTGATTTCACGTTTATGTCATGGAACGACTCTGGGCCTCATGAAGGTCCTTATTCAGCCTGCTGTTGTTTTAAATCCTGTGCATGTCTGCCTCGTCTCTCACCCTCTCTCTCTCCCCCAGGCTCTGCGTGCTGTGGGGCTTTGTGGTGGTCACGACCTCATTGACCATCAGTTCTGCCAAGAGGAAGGTGAGTCATTAGATCATCCAGTTGGGTCAGCAGAAAGAAAAAGAAAAAAACACTTTGTCACAACAGTGGGGTGAAAAGGGGACAAAAGTCAAAGGACAAGGTTTGGATTTTTCTAGTATCAATCCAAAAACACTGAAAAAACAAGAGTATAATATTAAAAAATGCAATCAAAAAGGCTTTATTTGCAGTAATCTGCAGCCTTTAAATGCACGTCTTTAAAGGTTACAGTGAGCACATTGTGATATACAGAAAGAGTTTCAAGGTAAAATGAACATTTGAAGTAATTTGAGCTGTTAGGGAAGCCATAGAAACTGTAAAAACTGAGATGTAACTGGATTTGGGGAGCATGTCCACCTTGTTTTCAGTCCGCCCTGTTCTTTCATAAGTTTACTCTGAGCAAATCACTTCCTCCTACAGAAAAAAAACAGCATGCATCTTTATAATAACAATGATTTGAAAATTTAACTAGCACTTTTAGTGCTTCACAAAATAATTTTTACCCCTGTTACATTAAATCCACCATCCGAAACATTTTTTATTGGAATCCTTTTATGTGCGAGATCAGTGGAAAGCAGTGCATAATTGAGAGTGAAAAGAAACGGGCACATTGTGTCTTTTTCTCTGCAATTAAAAGTGTTGTGTTGATTTGCAAATTAAGTCAATATGTCTTTACCAGAGCCTGAAACCTTTGCTCTTTCTTCTTTGGAAAGCATCTCAAACTGAACTGACTGGATAGAGAGCACCATTGATTTTCAAGTCTTGCCAAATTAAGAGTTGGGTCTGTACTTTGACTGGGCCATAAATACGCTTTGGTCTAAACCAAAGCGTATCTCTGTCTGTATGTCCAAGGGTGTTGTCCAGGTGGAAGGAGAAACAAAGGTTTCAGTTTTGGTTTTATTTGAACAGAGCACCTTCTTCCATACATTTACTGTAAACAAGACTGCTCCATATGGATTAGATGATTTGTTACTGGATTGAACAGTGCTCTAGACTCTCTACTGATTAGTTGACTTTTGCAGACCATTAGTTGTGCTGCTTTCCTTGTATGTGTATCAAAATAAAAGTCAATGTCACTTTTTAGATCTTTATTTGTAAAGAATCTGTAAAAAAAATAGCATTTTTGTAAAGTATTTATTTATTTTTCTTTGTGACAAGCTGAGTAAATGAAAATATTAATTTAAATGGTTTCTGTTTACTTCCTTGCTCTGTATCCTAAATTAACTAGAGATTTGAATTGTTGGTGCATAAATAAGCTAAACTGAAACAAATTAAACTTGAATTAAATTTCCACCTTATATTAAAGCAGCATTGGTACACCTCGGATAGACAGAAGAACTTTTATAGCTTACTTATGATCACATTTAAGGTCACTTTAAAGGTTTTTCACAAATACCTGCAAACATTTCTAGTTTCAACTTTGCTTAGTCTCCATCCACCAGATCCATGCACGCCTGCAGCCAGATCTGTAAAGTTAAAATTACATTTTCACAACAGAGAAGAAGAAAGTCGGCAGGTTTTCAATGCACCATCAGGTCCACTTGTACAGTGCGGCAGGAGTTTAACCAGTAGCTGCAGAGTTCATCTGCTGCAGGGGTCACTGCTTGCAACTCATTAATACTTCCAGTTATGAGGCAGTTGTGTGTTTGATGGCACTCATTAACGACAGAGCAGCACACACATTCAACCCCGGCAAACAAACCTCCATCACCCTTTCTCCTTGCTTTTCTCCCAGCCTCCCACCGTTTCCACCCCAGACTGCGACAGAAACTCTTATTAATGTGGTGGGAAATTTTGGCCGCCTACACCTGTCCCCTCTCACCCGTCTGCAAACATCTAAGCCCAGCATATTTACTTGCATGCTTCCGCCCATGTACACACACACATTTAAGCACTTGTAAATAAAAGGCGGAGAGAAGCGGGGCACAGATTTACGTCTTGGGTCTTGCTCAATGGCGACTTTTGTTCGGCTCGCATGTTTGCCTCGCTGCCAACCGGGCCAGCAGCTCAGTTATGAAATGAGAGGAGAAACATTTATCTACAACCACAGAGGAGGACATCAAAGCCATCAGCTGGCTCGCGCATACAGGCACTCACTCTTACATGTACACAAACACAGCGCCGGGTCAGCCGTGGTCTTGTTGGTCCTGCTGTGGGCGACTTTAGTGAACACAAACTGCTGTGGATTTATCTGACGGTTCTTAAACTGCTGCTGGCAGGTGGCTCAGACGCTTTTAAGCCCAAGTGATGAAGAGTTCAGGATTTACAGTTTGGACTCAGGGGACTATGGATCATCGGTAAACTGTGAAGAGGTTTTTTTGCATCTGCTTTTAGGGATCGGGGATTATTTCCTCTTAAATTGTGCCAAAGGTTTCAGTTTTTAGTAGTTTTTTAGGGTGAATTAATGGCTGCCATCTGCTGAAATGTAGGACAGGGTAGGATTTTTTATGTAATGCTGACCTTTACTGATACTCTGTTTCATAAGCTTTTTTTTTTTTTTAAACAGCTGGTTTTCAATTGTTTCCTTAGTCATGGTGTTGTTTAATACTACATGTGAAAAACCTGAAAGTAAATTTGTTCATTGTGGACATTTAACAAGAGTTGATGAAACAATGGAAAAACCAACGAAAAGCAAAATAAAGCAATTAAAAACATTGCCACAAAAACAAAAATGTGTACGAGTCAAGGGTTTGAGCTACAAAAAAAGGTTTTCTGTGTCATAATGTGCAATATTTGAATACAAATTCATATCGTGCTTTTCAGATTTTTGATAAACAATAAAAAAATAAATGCATTGTTTCATCTTTTGCAGTTATTTGACATTTCATGGTGACTTATAGCTTTAAAAAATCCTGGTAAAATATGTTTAAGCTTCCTTTTAAGTCAAGATTGGTCAAGAGTGTCCACACATTTCCGTTTTGTTGGTCTGGAAGCCAAAATGCATCGCACATGCACTTGCCTACTAAGATGGCGCGGATCACGTCTGGTTCAGACTTGTGGGGACTATTAAATATTTCTGCACAGCATTGCGTTCATCATAAAGTCATGAGATTCAGCAGATGTGCTACATGATTGTAAGGTTGAACAGATTTAACTAAGTTGTAAATCAAAATTTGATGTTTGGTTGTGTTTTCGTATCTCAGGCGGCAGGTCATAGGTCCAGACAGGCTTTTGAGGCGGAGCCTGTTGACGGAGTGTGGTCAGTGTGGGGGGAGTGGTCAGAATGCTCTCAAACCTGTGGAGTGGGTGTGTCTCACAGGACCAGGAAGTGCTTACCCCCTCCTCCACGTCCGCAGACCGCTCCTCTCTCCTTCGCTCCACCAAACTGGGCGGATTATTATCCCGGGAGTGTCAGAGGACCTGCTATATCACCTGGAAACCCTTACTATCCCTCTCATTACCCCGGGCAACACCCATCTTATCACTCCCCATCAGCCTCCAGGAGTCATAACCCTGGATTGCCACTATATAGAAACACAGGAGGAGAAGGGCCTCCTGTTCAAAGCAATCAGTCGCCGTCCTTTTATCACCCTGAAGTGTCCCCCTCTGGTCAAGAGCCTGCGTACCGACCCCCCTATCACATGAACTCACAGCGGTACAACCAGCAGCCCGCACGCGCCTTCAGGAGGCCGACCAATCCAGGAGCAGCGAGGGCCGGCGGAGGCGGGAACAGGCGCTCCATCCCCGCCAGTCGGGAAGGTTTGCCTTCAAGGAGGTGAGTGAAACCGGAGATTTGAAATAATCCAACATTCCCTAAAGCTGTGATTTTCTTTTGTTTTTTTCTTTTTCTTTTCTTTTTTTTTTTGCCCACTTGTGACCTAACTCACCATTACTGATTAGTGTGATGCCTGTAAGCAGAAATAAGGTCACAGGGTGAAAGAAACGCCCTGAAGCAAATGAACTCTGGAACCTTTGACGGTTTTGCCAAATGAGATTTCAGCAGCTGAAAGACCTTTTATGCTAGTTTTCTGTGACAAACACAAGAAGAACGAGGCTTTGTTTCTCAAGTCTCATGTCAGGACTTTTTAAAATCAGGTGTTTAGTAACAAAATTAAAGTAGAGCTTAGAGCAATTTGAATTCAATATAGATACACCAATTAGCCTGACAGTCAGGTTTTTGGACTGTAAAAGCCAGAGTACCCAAACATGCAGACTTCATTCAGGAATGCCCTGATTCAAACTCTGAAACCTGCAGTACTAATCGTTCCACTGGTTTAGTGGAAATCTTCTGTTTTCTTCAGAACCATAAGATTCATGGAAAAAGCACAAAAAGGAAGTGAGTTTTGCATAGCTGGCTATAGCAACAGTGGTTTGTTTGGTACAAACAGTAGCTGCCGCATTGTTCCCAGACAAAGAGAAGATTTGTATCTCATCACAAAATACAAGATCGAAGTGATCTGTGAGATTACTTTCCCAGGGTGCAGCGTGTTGTTGGGGATGCACTGAGGTTTCGATTGTTTTCACAGTGGAGGTTTTTGTAATGCAGGCTGGAGTTGTGCCCATGTCTGCCTCTGGTATCTGTGCTGTAATTACATCATTATATCTGGTTTTTATAATTTACAAAGGCGCTACATCTCTCTGCCCTCTCACCACATCCCATTGGTCACATGTTGTTTATATTCAGCTCATCCCATCCAACTGTTTTCTCTCTGACTTTGACTTCATAATTTCCTGCAAAAGCAAATTTAATTTCTTAAATTTGTTTTGCAGGGCTTCTAGCGTCCGTCCGGGTCAGTTTGGGTACGGTAAGGTTCCCTTCTCCCTGCCTCTGCATCGAACCAACCGCCAAGCTCGGCACGCTGCTAACGGCACCGACGACACCCAGACAGAGGAGGAGGCAGGGAGGGAGGTCGACAGAGAGGCAGAGACAGCAGAGGAGGAGAATGGAGAGCAGAAGATCAGCAAAGCTCCTGAGGAGGAGCCCATTCCAACAGGAAGACCACGCCAACACGCAGGCCGGACGTCCCACTCCGAGCACAGGAGGAACAGAGTCCCATCCCAACACTCCTTCTCGCGCGGCTCGTCCTCACCGGTCCTCGTTAACCGCCAGCGTTTTGACTGGAACTCCGTCACCGCTCCTCCTCCTCCTCCTCAGTCTCACCCTCTCTCTCCGGGCAGCTCTTCTCGTTTCACCTCTCCTCTCCACCGCCCCAACCTGGCTCACACAGAAAGGGAACCCCACCAGGGCTTCGGGCCCCAAGCCCCACCCGCCGGCAGCGTATTCCCCTTACAACACCCGCACACGTCTTCCCACCTGGGAGCGGAGGCCAGCAGGCACGGTGGAGGCGACGCTCCTCGGCTGCTCAGGTGCTCGGGGCCGGAGATGGAGTACCGCAGGTGCTTCTCACAGGTAGAACTGCCTGATTTCTTACAGCTCCTGTGATTTTCTGTTCACAGTATTTTTGTTTTTACTTTATTGAATAAATGTTCTCAAGCTAAATTATGGGCTTTTTCAAGCATTTTAATATCAACGTAATAAAAAAAAAGATCATTTTTAAAAACATTTTTCACAAATCTTTACTCAGCTGCAGTTTTTGATTTGAGCTTTGCAGGCGGTTGCCCAGGGCGGCATGGGCATCAGAAAGGGGGCACAAAAGAACCAGATAAACGAATATGACTTACCTTCAATTCAGTTTATCTATAAAGCACCAATTCACAACAAATGCTCAAGAAACTATAATTGCTACTGATTCTTATCAAATTGTACAGTATGCTCAGTTAATTATTCAAAGTAAATTAAAACATTTCTATGTAAACCCAGCAAACTGCCCTTTAACAGGAAGAGCCCTCCAGCAGAATCAGAATGAGCTGACACGACTGAAACCTCATTCTGGATTCTGAGTCCAAAACAGTGAGTCACTGATTAGGATCCAATTTCTCTGTTCTGCACGGAACTGGACTTTATTAACCAAGCAGGACCAGGCCTGGAGGATTTTCACAGATTTTCATACAGTTTGTTGCTTTTGTTACCATTTCTTACCCGTATTTTATATATGGTTTGTACAAAGGGCAGCGTTGTTCACAATGTAGGAGATAAATATGTTTAATGTCGAGTTATATTTGCGTCATTTCACATTTCTGCTTTAAACAGTTTTATTATTTTGGGGCAGCTGCCTCATGTTAGAAAAGAGCCCAAAGATGGAGTATAATATAGAATATGTTGAGACTTTTATTGTCCAGAGAGTGGAAAAATGTGTCTTTGGTTCACACTAAACAACCCATTTAGGACCTAAGCCAGGACTTTTCCTAGAGTACAGAAGAAATATATCCTCTCATTTTGACATTTTTTAGAAAAGCTGTGGCACAAGTTCAGTACTGATTGTTGACAGATGGAACAAGTAGGATTTCAAAGAAAATCAAACCATAGAAGAAAAAAGAAACAGTAAGGAACAATCATCTCAAACATCACAACAAGGACTTTTTACATGTAAAACAAAATGAATGAGTGGATTTATTTTAGTACCGCGTGTTCTCTTCGCTGTGTTTCAGAGGCACTTTCTTTGTTTACTGCATTGATTTGAAAGCTAGCTGCTGGTTTTCTGCTGATGACTTCGTAACAGAGAGCAAATCAACTTTCCAACATTTTTCACTCCTTCTGTTTCATAAAATGCGGTAAGTTGTTTATTCACATTTTCTGGATCTCCATCCAAATGTGAATTTTGTTTTGTCTTTTAACAATCTCTCACCTTGTCAGAATTGGAAGCAGATTTCTGTCTTTGAGTCTTTAGCTAATTTATTTGCGTGTGAAATTGTCCAAATGTTGGAACCATCTGTTTCCAGCTGATTAGACGGGAATATATGAGGTGTTATAATCTAATAATGCATCCTGTAAAAACGGAGCAAACTCGTACTACTGCTCCTGCTTTTGTCCTACATGTTACTGAAGTGAAAGTCCATCCATCCATCCATCCATCCATCCATCCCTCCGTTCGTCTGTACCAGATGTAGTTTGTTGAGTACTATCAGTTTCTTCCATCAGCGTTTCAAAGCTATTTAATGCAAACTGTTTCCTTTGAGGTTTTGTGAGTTGTCCTCTATTAAAGACACAAATGCAGATAGTGAGACTAAAGATGTTTTAATTGACCAAACTTTCATTTCCGGCTGGTGCCATTCGCTTTCCAAAGTGGCTGAACAAGCTGTTCACCTCCTTGCCTGTGGTGGCGCTGCACCAACAACCACTGAGGAAAACAACACATAAACCCCAGGAAATGTAAACAAATATGTAGTTGCGTCAGATTTTATCGGTTCTAGGATTTCTTCTTTGCCCCTGGTCAAAGACCCCGAGGAATTTCTCCCGTTAGCGCTCGACTCGCATGTTTGCTTTGGCTTTCTTGATCCAGAATGCTTTGCGGTATAGTTCGCTTTCTGCTTTTAGAGCGATCTCTGGTCCGCTTATTTCCCCACATGCATTCAAACCACAGCAGAGTTCATTTAAACCAAACCAAGACTGAGGTTTGTCGGTGGACACAGTTCACATGTCTGGTCCACATCAGATTTATTCACATCTCCACAATCGGACCGAATTTTCTGCGCAAACAAACGATTAAAGTATGAAGTGATTCATCAGATTAATTGTGATGAATCGATTATTGAAATAATCATGAACTTATTTATTAGTTGATCAGTTGTTGGTTAGCATATCCAGACTCAAAACAGGCATTTTTTTCCTGACACATTCAGAGTAGTAATCAAGCCACAAATGTTTAAAATATATATGTACATTTTACGTTTCAGATAATAACACCATTGTCTCTAAACATGTTTTACCCAAACCTCCTAAAGAGGAGCATAAAAGGTTTTTATCCAATTAATCGATTATTAAAATAATAATTAGTTACAGCCTCAGATTAAAGTGTACTTAACAGGGCTGGTTGCCACTCTAAATAAATTGCGACTGTTCAATAAAGACTAATCCTTTTCATGATGATTGAGCAGGTATCCCACCAGAAAGAGTCACAGGATCCATATCAGAGGGACAAAAATACTCAGAGCGACATGTGAGTGGGTTCTTTTTTTTGCCGCTGGCTGCAGATCTGCTCTAAGTGAGAGCACAAGGAGAGAAGATAACAATGGTTTTTAAACACGCCGACACAATTTCTCTCTCACACACCGTATCTGCAGCTTTCTCTCATCAAGTGGAAGTAGATTCTTGAAGTGGGAGCCAGCTTGGCACTTCAGAGCTCTTAGCTTTTCCCTGCGAAGATAATTTGGCATCCGCTCTCGTCGTCATTTAACCCTTCTCTTGTTCTTTCGGTCTTTCTCTCTGTGTCCTGCCCTGGTCGTCTTGCCCCCACTTTAAGGCAGACTTAGTGTCTTGGCAGAGTGTGTCCCCCTGTGGGTGCCAGCAGGGCTAATAGCGGTCCTGTGACGGCCGATCCTGACTCATTGGGTTACATATTTACCCTACATTTGCCTCTGCGATAGCTCCATCTACCCCTGCAGCTCGGCTCTTGAGTTTTATCTCTGTCAAATAGGTTTTAAGTGCTGATTGCAGGTCTTCGCCCGGGCTTGCATGTGTTCAATGTCTGTGTGTATGTGAGTAATTTAGGGGGTGAGCTAGACCGAAAGTGACACATCCCTTTATCCGTTAGGTGTGTTTGTCATAACATGGCGTGCCTGAGGCCCATCACAAGTATGATTGTGTGTTGGTGTGTTCTTTGTGCTGTTGCATTGGGGAACTAAGAGAGGGACAGAGGAAATGAGAAGGGCAAAAGGTGAACATGTGTGTGTTTGAATGAGTCTAAGCGCAGGGTGGTAGAGGAAGTGGCGCAGTTAGGCTGCAGTGAATGAGAGCTCTGTTTTTAGAAAAGCTGCCCTGGATCTGTTGCAGAGTGGATGAAGGGATGAAGAAATGGAGCTGGGGGCTGGTCGGTATGAGTCCTTGGGAGTGTGCGCCTGGGCGAAGAAAAAGTATTTGGTGGGGATTTCATAAGTCACATTAAGGATGGTTGGCGGTGAAATCAGACAGAGTGGGATGACGAGTTTGTTTTGATGAAAAGGCGTAACAAGAGAAGAAGTTATCCTGTCAGAGGAAGAAAAAGGTGGAATTTGAGAAGATTCTGTCTGGCATATTTAAAAGTGGAGACAGCAGTGTGAAGCCTTTCTTTTCTGAAGTCTTTCACACAGTGTGTTGGCGACTATATGAGCTCCTCCTCTTCCTCCCCAGAGTAAATATTTACTCAGTAACAGTAAATGCCTCTGCATGATCGAGCAAATGTTGCGTTCAGGATGACCTAATAAGACGGATACCATCAGGGGCAAATGTTTAACTTTAACCTGTAATAGAAAGACATTCCTGGAGGTTTACTGGACTCACTTCTTCATCTTCACCTCATTGTAAGAGTGACAAGAGACTGGAGTGTTTCAGCAGATTGCAAGCGGAAAAATAAATGGTGTTGTTATCAGGAGGACTCTCCTTCTCCTGGTCTCGTCTCAGTTTTGCCTTTTGATAGTTTTTTCTTTCGAAAAGTTATTTTACATACCCAAGTTTAGTAGTTAAAGTTGGGTATGTAACTCTGTTCTCATAGCTGGATTACTTCAAATTTAAGGATTTAAGAACAGTGGGATTCATACTATATTTTCTGACGTATTAGCTAAACCAACACAAGATGCCTCTTCTCTTCACAGAGGACTGAGAGAAACTGCTGCAGAAAATAGCAGATGTATCGACTCAAAGTGAATGAGAAAGCAAATGGAAATGACACAATATTACCAGTGATTCACAGTAAAAGAATTGACAGACAGCCAAGAAATAAAACTGAAGTTATTGTTTTTGGACCAAAAGAGTAGGCACACATCTTTAGCTTCTACATTTAGAAACGAGTGACCAGACTTGAACCTCCAGACACACATAAAGACGATTACAAAGTCAGCCTTCTATCAGCTGAAGAACATCTCCAGTGCAGAAATTAAGTAAATCTGGTCAGTAATTTTAAAAGTTCTCTTTTGGCCCAGCTAATATTTTTTCGGAGTCTTGAGATGTTGAGGTCTTTGGTCCAACACTGTAAAACATTTGAGCCACATTTAGTTATGCCTGCTATCTTCTACTCTTTAACTCAAATAAATTGAGTGAGTTTTAGATTTTGAACCCAAAAGTTTGAGTTTGTGAAAAATAAACTTACAGTAGTAAGTTGTGTTAGCTTTTTATTATTTTTGTCAGACCTCCAAGAGTTTTTAGGTTCGCAATTAAAAACTGAAAGAAGAAAAAGACAGTGAGAACCATTTCCCAGAATGCATAGCAGCATGTCTGTATCCTGTGTGGCACTGCGAGTGAGATGAAAGTGAGTTATAGTGATCTAACTGTTCTGTGTTATTACAGAAAATGTTTATTTTAATGTCCGGTTCACACTA